CAGACTGACAGTGATGATCACTTGCTCTGTCAGTGTGTGTTTATAGACCAACGGTGATGATCACTTGCTGTGTCATTGTCTGTTTATAGACCGACCGTGATAATCACTTGCTGTGTCACTGTGTTCGTAGATCAACAGTGATAATCACTTGCTGTGTCCTCAATGTGTGTTTATAGACCGACAGTGATAATCACTTGCTGTGTCAGTGTGTGTTTATCAACTGACAAGTGATGATCACTTGCTGTGTCAGTGTGTGTTTATAGATTAACAGTGGTTAGTCACTTGCTGTGTCAGTGTGTGTTTATAGATTAACAGTGGTTAGTCACTTGCTGTGTCAGTGTGTGTTTATAGATTAACCGTGGTTAGTCACTTGCTGTGTCAATGTGTGTTTATAGACCAACGGTGATGACCACTTGCTGTGTCAGTGTGTGTTCATAGATCAACAGGGATAATCACTTGCTGTGTCAGTGTATGTTTATAGATGACAGATGATCACTTGCTGTGTCATTGTGTGCTTATAGACCAATAGTGATGATCACTTGCTGTGGCACTGTGTGTTAAAATGATAACAGTGATGATGACTTGTGATGTGATATACAAAATATATTGTAGAGTAATAATTGGGTATTGGTGTTGTACTCTTGCAAGTAGATGAGACTATAGAGACCTGTTGGAAATTTTTCCAGAGGGCTCAAAAAAGAACACCCAGGGAAAATTCACAAGCTGTTTACCAACTGCCTGTTTGCAGCAGACATTCCAGTACCACTGTGGCAATCCCCTCTGGAAGAGAAACAGCACAGAATTCATCTCTCTTAAAGGCATAGTAGTGTTACGTGTCCATGTGTGTTTCTAGACTAATAATGAAGATCACTTATATGAGTCTATCGACTAACAGCGATGATCGCTTGCTGTGTCAGTGTGCGATAATAATCAAACATCTGTTATCACTTGCTGTATCAGCGTGCCTTTAGACTAACCATGAAGGTCACTTGCAGTATCAGTGTGTGTTTATCGATTAATAATGATAATCACTAGCTGTGTCAGTGTGTGTTTATAAACCAGGAGCGATGATCATTGCAATGCCACTTGTGTTCACAGACTAATATTATGATCACTTGTTGTGTCGGCATGTCTTTATCTGGACTAACCGTGAAGATCACATGCTTGTCAGCGTGTTTAAAGACTAACGATGATTAATTGCTGTGTCACTGTTTGTACATGGTTTCATGGTTGTGATCACTTGCTGTGTCACTGTCTGCTAATGGACAAGCAGTGATGATGACTTGCTCTGACAAAGTGTGTTTATAGACTAACAGTGATGGTCTCTTGCTGTGTCAGTGACCATTTAATAGAGTAACAGTAATGATCACTTGCTATGTCATGTGTGTTTATAAACTAACAATGGTTATGACTTATTGTATCAATGTGTGGTTATAGACTAAGGGTGATGATCACTTGCTGTGTCAGCGCGTGGTTCTTGATGAACAGTGATTATGACTTACTATATTGGTTTGTAGTTATAGACTAAGAATGATGATACTTGTTGTCTCAGGATCTGCATTTACAGATAATTGTTATCATCACTTTCTGAACCAGAAACTAAACTAACATGTATCATTGTGGAACTGATAAAGTTGTTCACATTTGAAGTTTTTGAGAAGATTTGTAGCTGTGGTTGTGGATGAGGTTGTAGACTTGCTCGCCGAGCAGTTGTGTTCGGTCGCAGACGTTTTGTCACCCTGCTAAGTAACATTGTCAGTGTGCCTCTGGTGAAGCATTGGTGTTCTGTCCCGCTTGTTATTTATATGCCTCAGTTTGCTGAAGTGGTTGGCATTACTTCCTGAACGCTTTACCGGAGGCGCATTGACAATGTTACCTAGCAGGGTGATGAAACATCTGCGATCAAACACACCGGCTCAGCGAGCAAGTCTACAACCTTGTTCATATTTGCTTAATGATTTATTTTGTGTGGATCAAAGTATCCTGATTTACAGCATCCACAAGTCTTTATTGGCTTGTGTTGGTTCCTGTGGATGCAAGTATTGAAGATCATAATTCAGCACACTTAAAGAAAAATCTGACATTTTATTATCACGATTAGAAGCTGAGAAGTTACTCCTGTTTCTCCCATGCAGGCAGCACCAATGATCAATGCAATATTCCTCATGATCTTCTCTGTGGTGGAGTTCGTCATATCTTGTTTAATTTGTTATCTTCATATCAAGCTCTTACGCTCCAGTCGATGGTAAGAATTGCAGAAGTGCGTCACACCTTAGGAAGAATGCTATAGCTATGTAGTGTAGATTGACTAGGCTGATATGACGGATAAGGAATTTTGGTTAAATGCCGGAGGATTGGAAAGATTGTTCTCTTCATAGTACGGATTGAGGTTGCAAAGAGATGTTTAAATCATAACAGTTCTGACATCATCAGGGGAAACTGACACTATTTTGAAGATGGTTAATTAAAGAGCTGGAAAAGTGCATCTAATCCGAGAACTTCGAAACAGCCAGCATGTGCATGTGTATCAAAGCAGATAACAGGAGCAAGAGTAGGCTTTTTAGCATATCAAACTGTCTTCAACATTCAGTATTGTGTTTACTGATCCTCCTTATCAACGACATTCTTCTGCTTTCCCCAAATAGCTCTTGATGCCTCGCTGTAAAGGTACCAATTTCTTTCTTAAGTATATTCAGTAGATTGATTTCCGCAGCCTTCTTCAGGAGAGAATTCCAAATGTTCACTACCCTCTGACTGAAGAAATTTCTCCTCATTTCAGTCTTAAATGGCCTACCCCATGTCATGATCATTTTCTCAAAAGCTCTTCAGCCAGGGAACATCATCTCTGTATCTAGTCCTGTCAGTATTTCATATATTTAAATGTTGTTTCCTTTCATTTTCCTAACCACCAGTACATATGAGCCTAGTCTAGACAATCTATTGCAAGTGTGGCTTCACTTCAGCTGTACTGTATAGGTACAGTAGTAGCCTGCTCTTGTACTCAAATTGTCTTGCAATAAAGGCAAAAATGAGCATTTGACTTCCTAACTGCTTGCTGCACTGGCATGCTTGTTTTCAGTGACAGGTGCAGACACCCAGGTCTCTTTGTACATCAACATTTCCCAATCTATCACCATTTAAATAATGCTTTATTCTGTTTTCCCTACTGAAATGGATTACCTCACATTTGTTCACTTTGTACTACATGTGCCTTGTATATGTCTACTCCCTTAACTATCTAAATCATCTTGAAACCTCTTTATGTCCTCTTCACCACCATTAATTCCTCATGTCATCAGCAATCTTGGAAAATTATATTGGATTCCCTCATCTAAAGCGTTAATATGGAGTGATCCACAAGCACCGATCCCTGTGGTACCCTCGTAGTCGTACCTGCAAAAATAGAGTCTCAGAGCACAAGAATAGGTCGTTTGACTCAACTCATCCATGCCAACCAGGTTGCCTAAATTGAATTTGACCTATTTGCCTGCATTTGGTCCATATCCATCTAAACATTTCCTATTCATGTACCTGTCCAAAAGTCTTTTAAATGTTGTAATCGTACTCACCTCTATCATTTCCTCTGGCAGTTCATTCCATATGCACATCATCCTCTGTTTAAAAAGTTGCCCCTTAAGTTCCTTTTAAATCTTTCCCCTCTGACCTTAAACCTGTGCTCTCTGGTTTTGGACTCCCCTACCCTGGGAAAAGACCTTGGCTATTTACCTTATCTATGCCCCTTGTGATTTTAGAAACTTTTATGAGGTCACCCTCAGCCTCCTATGCTCTAAGGAAAAAGGTCCCAGCCTATCTAGCCTCTCCTTATAACTCAAACCCTTCAGCCTCTGTTACATTCTTGTAAATCTTGTTTGCACCTTTCCAGATTAATAACATCCTTCCTATAGCAGGGCAACCAGAATTGTATGCAGTATTCCAAATGCGGCCTTACCAATGCCTTGTACAGCCATAACATAACATCCCAATTCCTGTACTCTATGCTCTGACCAATGAGGGCAAGTGTACCAAACACCCTCTTCTCCACCCTATCTCCCACTTTCAAGGAATTATGTACCTGCACTGTAGGTCCTTCCATTCAACAACGCTCCCCAGAGCCCTACCATTACCATTACCGCATGGTTTGTCTTATTAAAATGTAACACCGCGCATTTATCTGAAATAAACTCCAACTGCAATTCCTCAGCCCACTGGATTGAGATTCCATTGTACTCTTAGATAACCTTCTTCACTGTCCACAGTACCACCAAATTTGGTGTCATCCGCAAACCTACCAACCATTGCCTCCTCCGTTGTCATCCAAATCGTTTACATAAATGAAAAACCACAGTGGACCCAGCACTGATCCTTTTGACACACCACTGGTCAGAGGTCTCCAGTCTGAACAACAACCCTCTACCACTACCCTCTGTCTGCTACTGTCAAGCCTATTTTGTATCCAGTTGGCTAGCTCTCCCTGTATCCCTTGGGATCTAACCTTACTGATCAGTCTACCAAGTAGAACCTTGTCAAAGGTCTTGCTAAAGTCCATGTAGACAACATTTATTGATCGGCCTTTATCTATGTTCTCGGTCATCTCTTCAAAAATTCAATCAATCTTGTGAGACACAGTTTCCCATGCACAAAGCCATGCTGACTATCCCTAATCAGTCCTTGCTTTTCCAAATGCATGCAGATTCCTTCTCTCAGAATCCCCTCCAACAACTTAGCCACCAGTGACATTTGGCTCACCAGTCTATAGTTTCTTGACTTTTCCTTGCAGCCTTTCATAAATAATGGCACAACATTCTCTCTCTAGTTACTCTTTTGCCCTTAACGTATGACTTATTTATTCCTATTCTCTGTTTTCTGTCTGCTAATCAATTCTTAATCCATACCAGTATATGATCCCCAGTCCTGTATATTTTAAACTTGCATGCTAACCACTTATTTGAGACTTTTACAAAAAGCTTTCTGAAAATCTAAATATACCATATCCACTGGTACTGCCTTATCTATTCAAATAGATATGTCCTCAAAATCTTTAGTAAGTTTGTTACACATAATTTCCTTTCATAAGTCCTTGCCGACTTTGTCTAGCTCCAATTATATTTTCTAAGTGTCTGGTTATTGCATCCTTTATAATACACTGTAGAATTTTGCCTACTATTGATGTTATGAGTTGTTATGGACCAGACCAAATCCCCTCAAAACATATCAAGGAGTAACCTTTTCCACTGAGCGTCAGAGGCTGATGGGTGACCTTACAGAGGCGTATAAATCATGAGGGGCATGGATAGGGTGAGTAGCCAAGATCTTTTCCCCAGGATAGGGGAATCTAAAACTAGAGGGTATAGGTTTAAGGTGAGAGGGGAAAGATTTAAAAGGGACATAACGGGCAACTTTTTCATGCATGTATGGAATGAGCCGCCATGGGAAATGGTGGAGGCTGGTACTATTACAGCATTTAAAAGGCATCTGGGTGGGTACATGAACAGGAAGGGTTAGAGGTATGTGGGCTGAATGCTGGCAAAAGGTACTAGATTAATTTAGGATATCGGCATGGACGAGTTGGACCAAAGGGTCTGTTTCCATGCTGTAGAATCCTATGACTCTATAACATTTCAGTTGTCTGATTTTTCCACTGGCTTTTCCACCACTATAGTCATTGCTCCCATCTGTAATCCAGCTATATCATTACCAAGGATAAACTGTATTTCCAGAACCAAGAATTTCTCCATTACTCCTACCACCACTTCACTTGTTTTCACCAGACTCTCCAACCTCACTTTATATAATGGAATACTGCTCTTCTCACCATGAATTCCACATTACCATCTTTTCTGGCAATACTCCTTCTGAATTACATTTCTTCTAATCTCTCACCATCAAAGGCTGATTTGCTGCCATATCTCTTAAAATTTTAATTTCTTTACCTACTGCTAGCATACACGAGTAAACCTTACACACATAAGTAAGTTCTTTAAAGATATCTGGCACTTTCTTCTCAACCAATCCCTGACCAAGTTATACATTGTTTTGTAGCTTTTTAGCTTCCAATGTGCTTTTCTTTACCACTTCAACAAAACTCACTGCTTATCCTATTTTCCCAGTGCTGTTACTACACCACCAACACTGCGATTTCATGTGACCTACTCTATCACGGTGAAGACCCCTGAGCCAATATATTTCTTCTTCCTACTCATGGGTTCCTTTTTGTCCTGTGGTAAGCTATCTTTATTAAATTCAATGAGATTTCCTTTACCCTTACCACCTGAGGATTTTTATTTTCCCCAATTTCTACCCCTCACAAATTGAAGTTGTCAGAAACCAAACTTTGATTTATGAACCAACTCATAATCATCTGCCATTTCTGCTGTTAATCTTGCAGTCTTAAATCTCTGCTCTTCCACATGAATTCTCACTACTTCAGGGAGTGCATTTATAAACTCCTCCAAAATAATCATCTAACAGCCTCTTATGTTTGATCTATTTTCAATGCCCTTATCCACCTATCAAAATTACTTTGATCCTTTCAAACTCTGAGTATGTTTAACTAGGTTCCCTCCTTAGATTCCTGAAACATTGTCTGTAGGCTTCTGGTACAAGTTCATATGCAAATAAAATGGCTTTTTCTCACTACTTCATACTGCCCAGATACCTCCTCTGATGGTGATGCAAATACCTCACTAACTCTACCTACCAACTTTGTTTGGATCAACAATACCCACGTGGTCAAAGGCCACTTCATTTGTTTAGCCACTTTCTCAAATGAAATGAAAAAGGCTTCTACATCCTTTTTGTCAAACTTAGGCAATGCTTAGACATACTGGAACAGATCCCCACCAGGCCTTTGACTACGATGGGATTGCTCTCTGTCACTGTCCTCATCGCTACTCCTAACTTTCACCTCTACCTCTGCCATTTTAAGTTGACTTTGAGTTTTCAGTTCCAACCTCTTTAGTTCAAAACTCTCTCTTTCCCCCTTTCTTCTCTCTCTTTAACCTGCTAAGGCTTTTCTTCCCTTTTCTTTTTGCTCTGCTTTTAATCGTAATTCAAACTGTTTCATTTCCTTTTTATCTTAAGGTGCAACATTTGCAGTTGAGTTTTAGCCATTTCTAAAGATTCCGATTGCATTCCTGACAATTGCCACAATTACTTCCCCTTTCCTCACAGCCACAGGCAACCCCAACTCCAGCTTGTTTGCCAATTCCAAAAGCTTTGCCTTTCTCACTTTCTATAAAACTCCCAAAGTGACTTGTTCCACCCCCAGAAAACTCTTAGTGACTGAAAGAGTCATTACTACACAAGGCACACCCTGTTTAAACCAACTGAATTCAATACCGATAAAGAGGACACCAACACTCACCACTAATTGCCTTTGAGTCCAAAATTCCTAAAGCACACCTAGAATTAGAGATTTTGTTCCTGCCAAGACCCCTCCCAATTTGTTATGAACCAGACAAGACCCCCTCAAAACATGTCAAGAAGATAGCCTAAACCCAAACTTTTTCTTATTTTAAAGGCAAGTGCCAGGCGTTGCATTCCAGATGCAAATCAGTTGATCAAACTACGAGGCTTGAAGCAAAACACACTTTATTCATAGACTGTAGTTAAAAGGCAACAAAAGAAAGAAGAAATTGAGATAACAACTCTATTGGAAAACTTAACAGAGTAATAGAATATTTAACTACTAAACAGTAATTGTTCCAATATAGTAATATCCCATAAACACACCCTTGGCAGAGGCAAATTCACGGAAATAGATTGCTTCACATGCAATTCTAGCATCAGGAAGAGAACTATTGTACTGATTTCATCCTTTATTTACAATACTTGCCCACTTTCCTTTTACCTTTCTTTGCATACTCTTGGGTTTTCAGTTCCCAGCTCTGGTCACCCTGTAGCCATGTCTCTATAATCACAGTCATATCACACCCATTTACAATTGTTTTTCGAAATGTTAATTTGTCCAAATAATTGCATATAGGCCTCTTCAGTGCTGTTGCACTTGGAGACGGAATAGTGGCCAAGAAGCTGCTCAGGGCTTGATGTTGTGTTGATGAAATGTTCCGTTATAAACTTACAACTCTATCCCTCAATACGTATTGAGCCTCCAGAATTTCTCAGTTTGACCTCTGGATTTACTTGGCGCTTAGGGTCAAAACAGTTACCATGGATGAGGATTTTACTGTATTCAACTTACCTTGGTCTTCAGTTGTAACCTGCTTTTATTACTTTTAGCGAGTTACCTTCATGTAGGAGCATTCTAGCAGTGACAGGCAGCATTAACCTTCGACAGACTTAACAGATCTTGGGTCTTAGCTTGCCCCTGTTTCCACCCCTTGTACCAAATCTGTTGCTGTCATCTATTCTATAAAGTACCCCATTCAACCCAACTTAAGCTCGGAATCTTAACCTTCCAATGTCCCGAGTGTCCCGAAACAGTCAGCTTCTGTCTCTCTCCTCAAAACCTGACTTTCCAATCCAGCTTGCAGCAGCTGCACCTCCCCCAGACTCTGAGCCCACTCCTCTCTCTCATTTCTGATATGCAACAGAATTATTCTGGACATCAAAAGTTGCTTTCTTCTTTGCACTCCAGATCACCTTGGTGTACAAGGCACTTCACTAAGGCTCCAACACTTGCTACGATCTGTGTTGAATCTCTTGGTTGTGAGGTTGCAGATGTTACTGTCTCCTGTAGTGGGCTGTGTGAAGATTTAAGTATAAATAGTGATTTCAGAGAATGATTCCAATCATTAGCATTCAGCAGTCATCAGCAGAGAGGAAGGACACAAAGATCATAAACGGCAGGAAATTTATGTAAACCATTTATGTCTTCAATTCTTTTACAGAGGGAGAGTTCTACAGAGCTGAGACTTGGAAGAGCTGTACAACTGTTGTGCTTAATGGAGAAAAGCAGACAGAAGGAACCTGATGCAAAACTAAACACCAGTACATTAGTGATTTGATCTGGCTCTGGACAACCGTGTAAGGTTTCTTTGGAAGATCGTCATACTGGCAATATAATTACAGCAGCCCTGAACCTCTTGCATCAGAGCTAGTAGGAATTAGTGGCATGTTTGAGCAGAGATTGTTAAATGAACTGGAGATACAGGCTGAGTACTTGCAGCACTCAGAAAGCATAGCCCATCAGAAAACTCGTCTTTCAACCCTAGAAGGTAAAGAGAATCATGTCAAATAAGAAGTGTTCCACTCCATCACACCTTCAGTTCGGGTTCCCATTTCTTGCCATTGAAAGCTGTTTCCTGCTCGTTTTCATTCAGATCTATCTTTGGAGCAAGTACTTTCCCTCCCTTCCCTCCCAGGTTTTCACTCTCCATCTGAAGGGTCAGATCTAGCCCCAAAGGGTGGAATCGTAAAAATGAACCAGGAGTTCCTTGTACCCATGAGAACATCAAACTGCTCCTAATTCAGCACCAATTGTTGATGTTGTTCCATTGGAGGAGAGTAAATGTGGGAATGGGAGTAAAATTGAGATGGTGCTTGGCTAAGGGTAGGTCAGTTATGGGGAGCACCTTGAGCATGGGATGCTTGTTGCTGACACTGGGTAATGAAAGGAGTGGAGAGTCCCAAGTATCTCTGTACTAGCATCTCTCATAAAGGAGGCACAAGGATGGTCTTCACTAAAGGTTTATGATCCTAAGCATCAGTGGAAATGGTTCATTTCACTTTAGGCTTCATGTGGTCTGAACATATTGCTCCAATATGAGGAATTAGAATTTTTGGCTGCCAAAACCTGAAAGGTTCTGAGGAGAGGGAGGGATGCAAGTGGCAGAGAGACAATCATTGGCCTATGGACATTTTATGCTTGTACCACAGATAATCATTTGTAATTCCTGCAACAGGCTGGCAGGGCAGGGATCTGTACAGCACTACTGACAAACAGTTCATTCTTTCAAAACAAGAATGCCCTGTGTATTGACAGGCGATAAACATCAATCTGCAGTGGTACAACTGTTATTGAGACTCTAACAATCCCAGGTAATCTGGGAAATTAGCTTCATACCAAAAAATATGTTTAAGAATTGTCTTCCGTTTATTGGATCCTGGGAATGTCAAGCTAATCCATACCCCCTCAACCCTTCATATGTATTCTATGGTAATAATTACCAATGTTAATTACATAATGCTGACATAAAATAAACAGTCATACATTTAGAAACTGACTGCGACTAGAGATGATTCAGTACTGTAGATCATTAAAGCTGTGAGTCTGACCAATTACCAGAGCGTAAGAAATAGGAGGAGGTCATTCAAAATGGCCATGGCTGAGCTCTCATAAATGGAGAGTGATTTTGAAAAAAAATTAATAATGCTTTCCTCTTTGTGGATAACATTTTTTAATTACAATAAAATCAACATTGTTTAGGTTACATATATTAAGAAGCTTCCCTTCCTACTTAAACGATAGTTCATAAATCCAGTGTCACATTGCTGTCTCCTTTTCGGTTTAAAAGGATATATTCTTTCCCATTGCCATTGGAAACTTAGAAAAGGTGGTCATGGTACAATGTTTGTATGGTAAATATCCCAACTGCAGTAGGACACTGGTCTCTCTTCATTCCCTCAGTAATTTCACCATCCATTCACAGGGCCTTGAACATGGTGCAGTGACAATTATCTTAATTGAATCCATGTCCCTCTGGAGATCCTAGCTCTTCAAGCAATTGGAGGGTCAACTTCAACGGCGAACTGCAGATTGTCTATGGGAACTTGCCACTAAAAGGATTAAATGGAAGATAGTTTAGTGTTATTTAATAAATACACCTCAATAGAGTTTGGATGTGACCTCCTGCAAGCCCACTCCCTTTCTGAGCTGCCCTTGTTGTCAAGCAGCTCCTCACATCCACAGTTCAGAGATTATCCTGTGAACTACAGGATGCTGCTGACCATTCAAAACCAAGTGAGATAGTGGTGTAGTGATGATGTTTTTCGATTGGTAATCCAGCAGTGCAATTAATGTTTAGGGGGCAGGTTCAAATTGCACCATGAATTCCTTTCAGAAACTCATTTGTTCATTAATATCAATTAGGGAAGAAAATCTGTTTTCTTTCACAGGTCACTGTAAAATGTTCAATTTGTTCACTGCCCAAACCTTCTCAGTTCAAGGCATTAGAGAAGGCCAACAAACGTTGGCCTTGCCAGCGATGCTCATTTCCCATGAAAATAAAAATTAACATCTCAAGGCACCTCTCATGAATGATTATTGAACAAAATTCAAACCACTTAAAACTTTGTCAATGAAGTTGAACTTTAGTGGATGTTCTAATGGAGACAGAGAGGCTGAAAATTTCAGCGTTCCCAAAACCTCTTTGATGAGAAGTTTTTGCCGTTGTTCCTCTGACATGCAAGTTCCATGCAAATTCAACAGCAATGTATTCCATTCACAAGTGGGTGATCAGCCTGAAATCAGCATCTTTAATGGGAACATCGGTGAGGACTTTACAAGACCAGTAAAAAAACAAGGATGAGACTGGAAACAATTATCAGTAGCCCACCCATTCTATTCCTGCTCTCAAGCTGCTGAGGGCCTGAGAGGACTGTGTAGGATGCAAGATCAGGAAACCCAGACCACTGACCTTCCAGCTTTATCTTACCTTGAAATTCATGTATAATGAGCGTACAATGAAGGAACAAAATCAAAGAGGCGATGAGAAATTCCATCACGCACAGGATCATGAGGAAGAAGACTAACACCAAAGGCCCCACCTATAAAACACAAAATGAGACACCCCATCTACACTCCAACCTTTATCAGTCTGAGACCTCAACTCTTCCACCTCATTCTCTTAACATCACTGGATGAAAAATCCACCTCAGCAACAGATTCCATCATCCAAAACCCTTTCCCACTTCCTCCAAAGTAGTCTCTATCCTATTTCCAAGCAGTTGTTTATCCCTTTCTTACATCCTAAGTATCTTCTCAACCCAGTGCTCCCCCACTTCCTAAACACAGGATCTCTTGGTGCTACTTTTACAATGTGTGTCTGAAGCATGACCTTCACTATCACTTGAACATAAACCCTCATTCCACCCAAAGCAATATCTATCTGTTCCCCTTCCTCCCTAGCACCATCTTGCTCTCTCTCTCCTCTCCCTCTCTCTCAGTCACTCGCTCATAGAATCTCTAGTGTGGAAACAGGCCCTTTGGCCCAACAAGTCCACACTGACCCTAGGAGCATCCCACTCTGACCCACCTAAGCTACACATTCCTGAACACTATGGGCAACTTAGCATGGCCAATCCACCTAGCCTGCACATCTTTGGATTGTGGGAGGAAACCAGAGCACCCGGAGGAAACCCACACAGATACGGGGAGAATGTACAAACTCCACACAGACAGTCGCCTGAGGGTGGGATCGAACCCAGGTCCCTGGTGCTGTGAGGCAGCAGTGCTAACCACCGAGCCACCGTGTTGCCCCATCTTCACTCCATTTGCAAGCACTTTCTCTTTGTCTCCAGCACTGACAATGCAAAGCACAAAGAGGCATTTAAAATGCATTGATGAAAGTAGAGAGGGCATAAAATAATTGGGTTTTTCTTGACTTTTACCTGCTAAAGATATTTCACAAACACTGACAAAGCAAGATCTAAAGAAAGAGCAGGGCTTACTAGGGGGCAGAACGGGACAGGATTTAACAACTTAAATGTAGATAGATCCCCATGTCTAGATGGAATGTAGCCCAGGCTGTTAAGTGGAGCAAGGAATAATGGAGACTCTAACCAGCATTTTCCAAACTTGTCCAGCTGTAGATGAGGTACCAGAAAACCCGATTACATCTACCACTGCACCACTGCTTAAAAAGGAAGAAAGGAACAGACCGAGTAATTGCAGAAAATTTCCCTAACCAGTGGAGGGAAAATTGGAAGAAATTATAACAGAATCCCTACGGTGTGGAAAGAGGCCTATTGAGTCTGCACTGACACTCCAAAGAGCATCCCACCCAGTGTGGGATCAGATCTTGAATGATGAGCTTCCACTGTGAGATTCCATGGGAACAGAACTCTAAAATCACTCAGAGTAGAGATTGGGAACAACCCTGTCCCGCTATTCAATCGTAACAGTGAGGTGCACGGAACACAGAATTAATTTGTTTATGCAGAGACAGTCTTCAAACTAATTAGCCAGAAGTGCCTTAAGGAGCACATTGGAGCTGAATTCTACGCTGGGTCAGAACTAGAAAGACTCGTTGTACAGATTCATTGAAAAGAAATCTAAGGCAGGTAAGCCAGGCGCAATGAATAATACGTAATCATTGTTTCATGGACTTACAAACAAGAAGCTTAAAATCCGAAAGAGAAATTGTCAGAGAAACTTAACAAGTCTGGTAGCATCTGCAGAGAAAGAGACAGTTAATGTCTCAGTTCCATCAGAACTTGTTCACCGGACCCAAAATGTTGATCCTGTTGTCTGTCTCTCTCTCTCCACAGATAAGGAAAGGATCAATCTCCATTTAGAAAGGCGACAGATTCGTTAAGGGAAGGTTGTGTCAGACTTGGCACTGAATGGTCCAAGGAGTTAACGATGAGGGTCAATGGGAAATGTGCAGTTGATTAATTTTAACATGGCTTTTGATGAGGTTCCACGTGGAAGACTGGTTATGGAAGTAAAAGCTCACGGGATCCAGGATGAAGCAGCTAGAGATGGTTAGACCTAGCACTCTGAGAAAGTGAGGAACAATGATGTCCCAGTGCTGAGATGACTGACCTTCAACAATCACAACCATCTTCCTCTGTGCTAGCTATAACTCCAACCAGTGAAGAATTTTGACATTGATTCCTATTGCCTTCAATTTTGCTAGGGTTCCTTGATACCATACTCCGTCAAACGCTGCTTTGATGTGATGATCTTCACTTCCTTGCGAGTTCAGACCTTTTGCCCATGTTTTTTTTTAAGCGAAGAGCTGAGTGGGCCTGAGCATCAGTGAGCAGGTTATTGTTGAATAACTGCCACTTGACAGCAAGATCAACAACCCCTCCCGTCTGTTTGCTGATAATTGAAAATAGACCAACAGGGCAGTAATTGGCTAGGTTGGATTTGCTGTGATTTTTGTGAACAGGAATTGACTGGTAAATGTTAGTACGTTAACAACTGGAATAGCTTGGCTGGGGGAAGGGGTCAGCTAGTATTGGAGCACAGGTCTTAAGTACAATTGCCACTATTTCATGGGGAGTGAATTGAATTGGCTGAAGACTGGCATATGTGATGCTGGGGACCTCAGAAGTAGACCAAGATCGAATGGCCACTGAGTACTTTTGGCTGAAATGCTTTCAAAGTATGCTTTGTCTTATACACTGGTGTGCCAGGCCCCACTCACCATTGAATATGGGGATATTTGTGGGCCTGAATCCTCCTATTTAATTGTCCAGCACCATTGACAACTAGATGTGGCAGGACTGCAGATCCACTGCTGCTTATGTTGTTTGGCATGCAAGTAGTCCCGCATTGTAGCTTCATCAGACTGACATTTCATTTTTAGGTATGCCTGGTTATGGACCTAATGACCTTTTCATTGAACGAGCTTGCTGGTAATGATAGCGTGGGGGATATGCTAGGCCATGAGGTTACAGACTGCTGCTGAATACAATTGTACTGCTACTGAAGACCCACATTGACTGATGGATAACAAGGTGCAGAGCTGGATGAACACAGCAGGCCAAGCAGCATCAGAGGAGCAGGAAGGCTGACGTTTCGGGCCTAGACCCTTCATCAGAAATGGGGGAGGGGAAGGGGGTTCTGAAATAAATAGGGAGAGAGGGGGAAGTGGATAGAAGATGGATACAGGAGAAGATAGGTGGAGAGGAGACAGACAGGTCAAAGAGGCAGGGATGGAGCCAGTAAAGGTGAATGTAGGTGGGGAGTTAAGAAGGAGATAGGTCAGTCCAGGGAGGACGGACAGGTCAAGGGGGCGGGATGAGGTTGGTAGGTAGGAGATGGGGGTGGGGCTTGAGGTGGAAGGAGGGGATAGGTGGGAGGAAGGACAGGTTAGGGAGGCGGGGACGAGCTGGGCTGGTTTTGGGATGCAGTAGGGGGAGGGGAGATTTTGAAGCTTGTGAAGTCCACATTGATACCATTGGGCTGCAAGGTTCCCAAGCGGAATATGAGTTGCTGTTCCTGCAACCTTCGGGTGGCATCGTTGTGGCACTGGAGGAGGCCCAGGATGGACATGTCGTCTGAGGAATGGGAGGGGGAGTTGAAATGGTTCACAACTGGGAGGTGCAGTTGTTTAGTGCAAACCGAGCGTAGGTGTTCTGCAAAGTGGTCCCCAAGCCTCTGCTTGGTTTCCCCAATGTAGAGGAGGCCATAATGGGTACAGCGGATGCAGTATACCACATTAGCAGATGTGCAGGTGAACATCTGCTCGATGTGGAAAGTCTTCTTGGGGCCTGGGATGGGGGTGAGGGGGGAGGTGTAGGGGCAGGTGTAGCACTTCCTGCGGGTGCAGGGAAAAGTGCCGGGTGTGATGGGGCTGGAGGGGAGTGTGGAGCGGACAAGGGAGTCACGGAGAGAGTGGTCCCTCCGGAAAGCAGATAAGGGTGGGGAGGGAAAGATGTCTTTGGTGGTGGGGTCAGATTGCAGATGGCGGAAGTGTCGGAGGATGATGCGTTGGATCAGGAGGTTGGTGGGGTGATACTGGAGGATGAGGGGGATTCTATTTTGGTTGTTATTGCAGGGAGGGGGTGTTGGGGGAGTTGCAGGAAATGCGGGAGATACGGTCGAGGGCGTTCTCGACCACTGAGGGGGGGAAATTGCGGTCCTTGAAAAACGAGGACATCTGAGATGTACGGGAGTGGAATGCCTCATCCTGGGAGCAGATGCGGCAGAGGCGAAGGAATTGGGAATAGGGGATGGCATTTTTGCAGGAAGGTGGGTGGGAGGAGGAGTATTCTAGGTAGCTGTGGGAGTCGGTGGGCTTGAAATGGATATCGGTTTCTAGGTGGTTCCTCCCTCCAGAACAACCTCCGTGGATCTCTCTCCCACTGCAACTCTCTCCTCTGTCTCCTCTCCACCTATCTTCTCCTCTATCCATCTTCTATCCACTTCCCCCTCTCTCCCTATTTATTTCAGAACCCCCATCCCCTCCCCCATTTCTGAAGAAGGGTCCAGGCCCGAAACGTCAGCCTTTCTGCTCCTCTGATGCTGCTTGGCCTGCTGTGTTCATCCAGCTCTACACCTTGTTATCTCAGATTCTCCAGCATCTGCAGTTCCTACTATCTCTTGACTGATGGATACCCAGTTTTGAGTTACTACATCTGCTCAAAGTCTTGCCATTTACCAGTTATCACAGCTAGAGACACCCATATCACCTGAAGGAATAAAAAGATGGCAGGAAAAAGAGAGACAGAAAGAGTGCAAAATGGAGAGAACAGTTTAAAACTGATTAAAGAAATACTCAGCCGAATGGAAAGGAAGAAATCTTGAAGTCACTTAGGTAATGTTTGCAAATGGATGTGAATTGAATACCTTCAGAAGGTATTATCTGGGGGAAATGTAGTGGATGCCACTGTAACAAACACTGTTGATTGTTAAATTCAATTCTGATATTGAGTTCGGAAATAACTGTTTGGTCTCACTTTAGAGCACAAGTCTCTGTTTACCCTGATAGAAAAGCTGAACAGCCTTTGAAATGAAAGAAGAAATGACCTACGATGTTGTTGACATGAATTTTAAGAAAGTGTTTCACAAAGTACAACATAAAAGCCTGGTTAATACAATTGTAGCTCATGGAAATAAGAGGGCCAGTGGTCAGTTTGGATAAAAATTGGGTTAAGGGTTAAATACAGTAAGACAAGGTAAATGGTTGTTTCAGTCTGGTGTAAACCAGGAGAGAAAAAAAACGTGTATATGGATATAAAACACTTTAAAATTTGACGATGCCAATTTGGCAAACTGAGGATATATCAGTCAATGACAACAGGACACAGATAGACAAAGAGGATGTGCAGACAACTGACAGATGGAATTGAATACAGAAAACTGTGAGGTGACACACTTTGGCAGAAGGAATATGAAGAGGGAACATTGATTTTAATGGTATAATTCTAAAGAGTATGTAGGGGTAGAGGGACTAGGTTCAGACAATGTACACACTGATTATTGGAATTGGCCGGCTATACTGAGAGTTTGGGCTTTATAAATATAGGCTGTATGCTTCCCTCCCTCCATCCCTCACACTGTCTCTCTCTCTCCCTCCGTTCCCCACACTGTCCCCCTCCCTCCATCCCTCACACTGCCTCTCCCTCCCCCTCCGTCTCCCTCACTGCCTCCCTCTTTCTCCCTCCAGCCCCCACATGTCTTTATCTCTTTCTCTCTCTCCCTCCACCCCCATACTGCCTCTCTCTCTCTCTCACTCCATACCCCACACTGCCTCTCCCTCCACCTCCACACTGCCTCTCCCTCCCTCCATACCCCACACTGCCTCTCTCTCCCTCCACCTCCACACTGCCTCTCCCTCCCTCCAGCCCACACACTGCCTCTCCCTCCCTCCATCCCTCACACTGCCTCTCCCTCCCCTTCTGTCTCCCTCACTGCCTCCCTCTCTCTCCCTCCAGCTCCCACAAGCCTCTATCTATCTCTCTCTCCCCCTTCACCCCCACACTGCCTCTCTCACTCCCTCCAGCCCACACACTCCCTCTCCCTCCCTCAACCCCCACACTGCCTCTCTCTCTCTCCCTCAACCCCCGCACTGCCTCTCTCTCTCTCCCTCCGTCCCCCACACTGCCTCTCTCTC